GTAGGCGAGCACTGCCGTTTCTGTCGAGGATTTCAATGTGATGCTGTTTTATTTAGGTCTGATAGCAAATTCAGTTATCAAAAGTCTTTATAGGCTGACAAGCCCAAGTTTCAATGGGGTTAAACCACGAGCTGAGCGTTTGCAGGCATTTTAAGCAGCAAGACTACACCTATGGCCTCCATATTTCACATTGATGTTTCAAAGCTTTTCCAGAACAGCCACTCTTTTAAAATACCTTAGAAAATCGTATTAGACCTGTGTTCCCTAAAGTGACAATCCAAGATTTCTCTCTTCTTGGAAGAAATAAATGAATAAAAGAGAAAAATTTAATGACCATTCTGAAGCATTCTAGAATTCTTGTAAAATTAATGAGCCTCTCATTATCAAGAAGGTCTATTTAATCTGTTCTACACTTGGCTATTTTAATAAAATATTTAAAATGATCATCTCCATCATTTCTGCTGCGATGTGGATTTTTCAGCAGATAATTAATACAACTGTCATTATGCCGGGCTCGTGCTTTGGGAAAAACCGGGGAGTAGTCATGGAAAACATTTGGATGACTACCCTTTGCGCCTGTTCCAAGCAGGCGTTATAGACCAGGGTACAGTTGATGAACCTCAGGAGGTTTGTACCAAATGTGTCAAATGGCCGATGTCAATTACGAAGGGGTGGGCACCACATAGCAGAGAGTGATAAATCGAGACGAAAAAGCACGTTGTCATAGGAAACGAAAACTCAAGCTTTGAGGACCTCATCTTTATTCCTTCCACTGATGGAATAAAATTGACAAAGGCAGTGAACACGAATCCTTGGGTACCCAACTGTGGGGCTGATTTCTGCCCCCTTTTACACGCTTAGCATTGGGATTAAGTAAGCATCGTGTGAAGTCCCATGCATGGCGGTTCATAGGAGAGACTGGAGAGGGATGAAAGAAAGAATTCTAGTCTCCTTAGCGCTGTGTTCTGCAGCACGGCTTAAGTAACGGCAAGCAGAACAGCCACAGACTCCAGTTGCTTATGGAAGATCAAGGACGGCCTGATGGGTGGAGAAATGCTGGTGGCCCTAAGTGACTCTCGTGTATGTGGGTTTTTAAATACTGACCTTAGCATTCAGTCCCTTGTAGAATACAGCTTCCATTTTTTAGAGGGCATTTCATAATAGCAAGATAAAGATATTCAGTGCTTTATGATGTAAATTACATTAATTAGAATGTCAACTTTTCACTGGCATTGTTCTGACAGAAATTCTAATCTGTGTTTAAACAGGACTATATGAACTTTATTTCACATCAAGTGTGCTGTCTTAATTTTCTTGATTTAATATTTTATGGAAAACACACATTCAGCTTTTGAGGTCCCAGAGGGCACAAGGGCATAAGGGTGCCTTAACTGTGGGTTACTTACTGAAAGCCAGGCACCGCAGCTGCAGGCACAGGGAGGGCCCTCTCCTCTCCAAGTGATGTGCCCCTTTGTCACCAATGCATGCTCCCGTCTCAGTTCTATTGCAGAAATTCTTGCTTGGCATCCCCACGCTGGCCTGGCCTCATTCTAGCCCACAGCTTTCTGACGGAACACTTTGTACTGTTCCGTCTGGTGTAGGTGCCCCTAACTTCATATATCTAATGTTAAGGTAAAATGCTGCTAATACTAATTCAAGAAGTAAAATTTTAATATCGTCATTCAGCTTAAATTGCCCCCTATGTTACTGGCTTAGTTTGTGCAGCCCTAACCACTGCAGACCTTTTCAGAAGTGACGGCCACAATACTCAGGCATCCATACCTGCCTCAAGACAATGTTCTTAGCCCAAGCGTGGGAGTCAGTACTCACCTGCCGTGGATCGCCAAGCGGGTCCTTCTTGAGATCTCTTTCTTGGAGAGCGGTCTGTTTCTGTCGGAGGATTAATACTTCTGGAGTGTGTGTGGGGTTCTCTCTGTGACCATTCTGGCTGGAATAGAGGTGCTTCAGGGACAGTTTGGTGAGGAGCTACGGGTGGCAGGCCAGTTCACTGAGTGTGAAGCCACAGCCTCAGACCTTGCTTCTGATGGTATGGATGGTGTGTGATCGCAACGCTAGCCTTCCATGCTCGGTTTGCTGTGGGACACTACAGGAGTCACTGGACCGTTTAGGTCACTTACCCTCGGACAAGATTCGGTTTCTCTCTGTCAACCTTATCCTCCTACCCTAGTTGTCATCTATATCTTATTGCCTTACCATTACGCCAAATTAATATTCTTCTTAGTCTCAAAGGGGGCAAAGAGTCTGCTTTTCTATAAAACTATGCAAGCGAGCCTCAAGAGTCATATTTAGCTCAGCCTACACAAACCATTACTGTTTCCTAATGAGTAAACAAACGGATTTTGCAGGGTTACACAGCAGTAGAGGTCATTAGACACATCTGTTAAACCATTTTTCTAGGTTCTAAGATTCAATCTTTAGTCTGCAAGAGTACGAGACCCGGGGGTGACACTGGTCTCTGATGTAGTACGTTGGAGTAGCTGGCATCTTCCAATGTTCACTGTAGAGGAAAGCAAATACCAAAACAACAGTTGCACATTTATGTCTTGATACTTAATTCAATTATTTTCCATGATGGTAGCCAAGGGTTTTTTACCAACACAAATCAATTAAGGCTTTACAATGCTTCTCTGAGAGAGACACGGGAACTTTATTTTAGCTGTAGGAAACAGTGTGAAATTGTCATGCTACATCAGCGATTTTCCATGATAATTAATCATCTACTTGCAACCTGGCTGCTGCTTCAAAAATACAATTCCCATCTTTCTGGAAACTGGCATTTTCAGGGAAATGTCATTTGGGGGTGGTACATTATGAGTACTGACCACTCTCCTTTGAAACCGGTTTTAGAAGTAGCATTGTATAATGCATTGTTGGACAGATCTCCGTTTCTCTCTTTTCTTCACCTTTGCCCCCTTCCTGGCCTCGTGTAAAACAGCTTTATTGCGGGGTTTAGCCTGCAACAGATCGCATGTTTCAGAGCATGAAAGGTGAGGAGCTTTGGCTCTCTGAAAGGCATGCACACTCAAACAGAGTCATGGTGGTGAGGACGGGCATCACCCACACTTCCTCCCGACATTTTGTAAATCCTTCCTCAGCTCCTCCCCAGACTCCTCTGCGTCCCTAAGCAATGGCTGATTTTCTTTATGTCACGATCCAGTTCGTTTGTCCTTTCTCGAATCTCATGCCAATAAGACCAACCGGCACGCGCTCTGCTGGGGCATGGAACCGCTGTCTGACTCAGCTGCCCATTGTTAGACGTTTCGTCTTTGCATGTCAGCTCTTCTCTACGTTTAGTTCACACATGGTATTCCATGTGTGCTCGTACCGCACTTGAATCATGGAGTTACTGACGAACATGTAAGCTCTTTCCTCCAGTCTTTCAAATTATGTCTATCTGGGCAGAAGCACGAATTGCCAAAACATTGCTGAATGACCAGCGCCCGCCAGGGCATGTGGCTCCGATGGCTTAGTAGCCCGCCGTCTCAAGTGCTTGGACTGTTTCCTTTAAGGAACTGTCCAGCGTCTTCAGAGAACAGTGTTCAGGAGTAAGGCCACATAGTGGGCCACACTGGCCAGATCCATGGGCTTGTGGAATGACAACTCTAATATGCAGAGTCCCTGTCATGCCAGCCTAATTCACCAAATGAGGACCGCGTCATAGACATCAGTGTCAGGAAAACAAACTAAGTGCATATTATATGGGAGGGTTTTTTAAAATTATTTATTTTACATCCAGACCATTGTTTCCCCTCCCTCCTCCTCCCCCTCCCTTCTCCTACCTTTCTCCATCCACCTCAATCCAACCCTCCTCTTTTTGTGTTCCATAAGGGGCAGGCCTCCCGTAGGCATTCATAAAGCATGGAATATCAAGTTTCAGTAAGGATGAACACCTCCCCTTGTATCAAGGTTGGGCAAGGCAGCCCATTACGAGGAATAGGGTTGTTGTAACTGTCTTACACTGTATACTATGGAGCCGAGATGTCAGGGAACTCACTGTGTAGCCCAGACTGGCCACCAGCTTGCAACCTCCTACCTCTGTCTTCTGGGAACTAGACTAGCTGGGAGCTGTATAACAAAATGATGACTACGGATCCAAGATTCAAGCTCATAGGTATCAGGCACCCACGAGGGCCAGGCCGTTGCTTAGGTGCTAGCGTGTGGTGAATGAAGTTGGTTTCTCTTGGAGGTTTTCAATTGAACAGAGACAACCATAGGTTATGTGATATAGTCCTGGCCGGTAAACTTATAGGATAAATGAAGGAGTTCAGGGAAAATGTTTATTGTTTTCCTAGAGGCAGCCCTCCAAGGGCGCATATCATTCTGCGGGGTCAAGTGAGAGCAGAGAGCATGACAGCGATCTCATAGGGAGGGGAAGAGAGGTAAGGTTAGCCCAGCTAGTGTGCTTGAGCCTTGCAGGTCGGTGCTGGGTAGCAAGGGGAGACTAAATGACATTTTAAATTGCCAAATTTTCTTCTGGGGCACAGAAGGTTTTGGCTGTGTTTCAGCATAGGAGAGCGAGAGGAATCAATCACAAATCCCATGGGGGTAAGGCCAGTCTGGCATCGATGAGCCGAATGAGGTTAACAGAGTGATCACAGTGGAAAATGGGCTTGAGTGTAGTGTTTGCTGTTCTAGCACAGACTAGCAGCTAGCACATCTCAAAAATGTGGCTTTTGACTGGCTGTGTGTAAATATGACAGAAACTTCATAAAGTGAATGACAGCAAAATGGTTAAAGTCTACGGAGAGTTCCTGTCTCATGGTCTCCCAGATACCAGTACTCCTCGCTAACTCTCTGTCATTTCAGAGTTACTCCAAGTGTTTAGAAACAACTGCACACATGTGCTTTGCCTTGTCCCTAGTTTGTGTTACCAACAGGTCAACAGCAGTAACTGTACACAACTCTATCCGTGCAAATGGCTTCCTAGTGTTTCCTCTACGAGCGTGCCATAGTTTATTTTAACCAGTCCTTTATGCTAG